AGATGGCAAAAAGATTAATCTACCATTTTAATATTTTAAATCCAAATTTCCCTTTGGAATAATTCTTCATTTTGGAAAAAATATGCATTTGTTGGTTACATCTAACATATTTAGAAATGTATTAGTTTATTAAGATGAACATATCTAGAAATAGCTAATAATTTCTCAGTTAGAAAAATAATGTTTTAATAATAATTAGAACAGATTAAAGGAACTGCCCTTCTTTGGATATATTCAGATGCAGACTGATTGCCTCACTGGATCTCTACCCTTATTGGACAGGATCTAGCATTTATATAAAAAGGGTATATTCCATCCTTTCATGAGCACTGTAATGCTGGATAGGAGTAATGATTGCTGAGGAAGAGAGGGTGGGTTAGATCATTATGGGGCAGTGGCACCTTGCTAACTTCCTCTGCTACATTACTGTTGAAGTACTATGATGTTACACAGAGGACATGGGAGAAAATAAGGGAAGCATGGTTTAATGTACAAATGAACAGGTTTGACTGATAAAACGTAGAGGATAAACTTAAACTGATCAAGAGGGAAAGTGAAGTTTACCTTTGTTGAAGTTATTTTAGTTCTGACATGTTAGTGAAATACAGAATACAGGAGAATTGTTACAGATAAGCAACAGTGCTTGATTAGCTGCAAGACAATGGTTTCTAGCTTCCTTTATTATTTACAAGGCATCTATCCTGAATTATTATTAATATGTAAATATCACCAAACTGTAATTAGCCTATTAGTTTGTCAAGAAGCAGGAGATTAATCACTTAAAAAGCTCAAGGTTGATTGGCAATCTAGTAAAACTTGGTCTAACCAAAAGAGCGTATTCTCTTCAAAACATGATTTTAACAATAAAATAATCCCATGTATACATCCTAGAACGTGAAGCCAACATTAATTACTCTGGACTGTTTTTTGAAGAAAGCAAAAGCAACAAAACAAAGCAAAACAAACAAGCGCGTAGTACACCTCTGACATAACACGTCGGCAAAGAGAGTCAGGAGTTCTGTGTGGAAGACGCGGTTTCCTTTGCTCTGTCTTAACTTCTCTTTTTAGTCCACCCCACCCCACCCTCCCACTCCCCCACCTACCCCCACACTTTTCTGTCTCTTTCCTGATTTGGCTGCTTAGGGACAGCCAGGTAATGGAGAAGAAATTGAAAGGGAAAATACAGGGAAAATGTAAATGAAAAGAAGTTATTATAACTGTTATAATGAAGTGCCTTTCATTTAAATATAAGAATGTAACGCTGAAATGAACTTGTGATCCTGAAATGCATTTTTAATGAGTTTCCTTTTTATTTTGCTGCTTCAGTGGCATATTTTAAAGACCCTTTGAAAAAAGCCACATTAAAAAACCCCACCAAATGCCACAACATGCAAAATTGGATATTGGTTTATTCCAAAACTGCTGATCAGGAAGAGTGGCTCTTCAACACAAAATGTTGCAGTCACTTTATTTAAATGAGTTTGAATTTGCATTGTGATGTGCCATTCTGATTTAGAAAAAAAAATTAGATTTTCAGATCAAATTGACCCAGCCAGTGAAGCATTAAGGAACTGGCAGGTTTAGTCTGAAAGGCTCATGTTATATCAAACCTGCAGCTGGTGGAAGTCACAGAGCACCAGTTGGAAAACAACTTCCTCACTGAAATCATCCTCCTATTACCTTGTAAGAGTTTTGTTCTCACATATTTTTCCCTCTCATTCTCCCTGTAGGCGAACGCCCCTTCCAGTGTAATCAGTGTGGGGCATCCTTTACTCAAAAGGGCAACCTTCTCCGCCACATAAAGTTACACTCCGGCGAAAAGCCCTTCAAGTGCCACTTGTGTAACTATGCTTGCCGTCGTAGAGATGCTCTCACGGGCCATCTGAGGACCCATTCCGGTAGGTGTCCATGTTAGAAAATTCTAGAAAAGTTTTGCTTGCTGCTTGGCCAAACCAAATTATATCTAGACAATTCAAGATGAATGTAATTTTACTTCAGGTTTCTTCTAACCTTGACTGAAACCAAGGGCCTACTAGCCATTTGGTTAGTTTGCATTTCAACTAGAGTTTCAGTTAGACTTACACAGCATATTTTCTATCAGTCTATATGCAGCCCAGCAGTCCACATAAATGTTTCTCATGATCTTTTGCCTGTCTGTCAAATCAGGAGAGTGTCAAGCATATAGCAAGCTACAGGTTTGATTCAGAGCTATTTATTATTTTCTAATAAATGGTTGGCCATATATTAGGGTTGTAAAACTTGGTGAATCATAAATCTGCAAGCTTACTATATGGCCAACAGTTCTTCTACCATACATGATCCCAACCAAAGATACATAGTTGGGGGTAGCATGGGTTTATTTGATAACTAGAAACCAGCCTAGACAAATCTGTATTCCAGGATAGAAGCAATATCTGATAAATTCAGCAGCTAGAATTTCTTCACCATTAGATATAAACACTTTAATATTACCTGCATAGAATGTGGGCTTGAACCTTTGCATTTATACAGTTTCCAAGTCAAAACTTCATGATTAAAGCTTTTCTTATAGAAGAGATGCAAAATGACTTTTTAAAATGATTTTAAAAATCAGGCAGGTTTTGCTCATTATTAGATTTATTTGTATTGAACTCAAACCTTCAAGCCAGAATTGAGCAAATTCTGATTTGGCAAAATTACATTTCATCTCTTTAGTGGCCCTTTTTTCCCAGATGTTTTGAATCGATAGGCCTCTTGTCATTACAACATGACTGAATTACATGCCCCAAGAATTGCAGTAAAGATTGTCCTTTGCGTGCTTCTGGATGGCTGTTGAGTCTGGCTGTTTGTACATGCTTGATTCCGTTATTATCAGGACTATGTTATCCCAGATCTCTTTTAGTTTCTGCAATAAATTCCATTTCCCCCTGCAGTTGGCAAACCTCACAAATGTGGATATTGTGGTCGGAGTTATAAGCAGCGAAGCTCTTTGGAAGAACATAAGGAGCGCTGCCACAACTATTTACAAACCATGAATCTTTCAGGCGGCCTCTATCCGGGTAAGAGTACAAAGCAGAAAGGCAAGATTAGCTCCACAATAAGATGTCATTATAAGGCCCAACTCTATGAGCAGTAAAATGCTCTCTTGGAGCACCAACATTTTTAGGATCAGTATAAAGCAGAGCTGCAGAAAGCACTCAGGGGCGGAAGGAACTGACCAAATTCCCAAAGGCAGAGAGATTGAATGTGGGAAACAGCCACTGGCCTTCTTGTCTGGTGACTGTTGCTCAGTTGAGGGTACAGCAAGTGATCCCTCCTCTGTTGTTCTTTGCCTTGCCTTTGAATAGCTGCTCTCCTGCTGCTCACACCCTCTTTCCCTTGCTTACTTTCAAATAGTTATACCTTCTTGGAGAATTATATATTATGTTGTCCTTACTGTCAGACCAAGAGGCAGCTATCTTTTCTTTCTGCTTGCAGGTCCAATAGTTTGATCATCTTTCTCCCCTGCCTTTCTCAATCAGCAACCATCCTTGTCTCATTTCCCCCACTGGCTCCGATACTGGGAGTTAATACTACTCTACCTCTTCCAATATCAGATGCTTGAAGTGAAAAATGAAGCAGGAATTATATCTCATGTTTGGGGAAGCTCCAAACATGAGATACAATTTTTTATCTTCCAAGGAAAAAAGTTCTTTGAGATGGGGAAGGAAGAATTTTAGCAGGAATATTGTTTCTCCTATTCCTGTTTCAGCATCCTTGTTAATCAACCATTTCAGTGATTGCATGTATTAGACACACACACACACACACACAAATGAATGCAGCTATTCCATGTGAAAGCAATGGGACAATTTATGCTTATTCCATTTTTGCCAAGTACACAGCATATGGACATGCATTAATAACGTGTACAGAGAAACAGATTCAGACCACTGTCTCTTAAAGTTGAGATAACTGGGCTACGGTAACTTCAGATTGCATGTCTGAATGGGTAAGATATGAATGATCAGACTAGGTTACATACAAGTCTTCTGATATGCCATTTTTAAAAGCACATGTTCATTTTACATTGGAACAGTTTGAAGTCAGAATGCCCTGCAAGGCTATTGCACACAATTTTTCTAAAGGCATACTTTAGATCACTGGAAACACAATACCTAACATTGCTATCAAACACTATATGGTATGTAATGTCCTTTCAAGAAAAGATACAAATTGTGTTGAGTTTCTTTAATAGGGAGTAGATAAAGCGTTTCTGATATATCTATCACTGTGTATGGTGAGATGGAATTAAAACCCCTTTGATCCTGTTAATGCATTTTAATGATTTGTTTGCTCATAATTACATTTCTATGCTGGCAAATCATATGACTCATGGCAGACTACAGTAAAAACATAACCAAATGCATGGGAAACCAAATAAATAAAAGGTATATAAGAATCCATAAAGCAGAAGTAACTCAATGAAAATAATATCATTCCCAACTAAATCAACTGCTTCAGTTGTCACCACCATACAAATGGGTAGTCTTCAGAGTTCTGTAAAATAGCTCAGTTTTCACTGTGCTGCAGAATAATATCAAAGCCTGCGATGACTTAGCTTTCAGATAGGCTGTTCCATAACAGGGAGGGGGCACTTGGCCACCATCAAGCTAGGAATAAATGACCAGCTCAGTTGGGATATGATGTAGCACAGACTATGATGGTTCTACCTGGAGAAGGAGTCCCTGAAGATACTGTACTTTCTGCAGTTTATTAAATGTCAGAAGTGAAAGGCTGCCTTAGACCTCATATGCAGATGCTGCATTTAATGTTCTTTGGGCAATGCTTGTGTAGCTGTTGCATTTTCAGAGAATCTAAAATGAATGCCAGAAAAATGCTGGAAAGCAGCTGGGATGCTTCTGACAGTTCATGTTGTATGACCCCTTTTGTTTTTGCTGAGTAAGCAGGGAACGTATAAATATAGCAAACTGAGACACCAAGTGGGATTACTCTTTGTTTCTAGATTATAGTGAGCAACTAGGAAAATTTGTCTTAAACTATTTATTTCAAAAATAATATACACAGTGGAGTATATTGTGACCAGTCAAAATATGACAAAGAAATGTGCAGGTATTTGAGCTCACCATATCTATTAATCAGGCTAGATGATACATAAAGCAGAGTATAGCACAGAAATAAAACAGACCAAATTAAGCTAGATATTTTCACATGAGCTCTGTAGTTCTGACTTGGTTTGGTATAGATGACTGGAATTACTTTGTACAGATCCAGTAATATAGTAATATGCTTGTGCAAAGAGTCTGAAAATAATCTGGAATCAGTTCACACAAGCCCCACATTTAAAAAGCTCAGGGAGATGAACAGTGATTCAGGACAATGCTTCAGTAGGTAGCTAGAGACCTAGAACCAAGTAGGAATGGAAAGGGGGAGGGTGTGTGTGTTGGGATGATGCTGGTTGGATTGTGCAAAACCATTCTTTTGCACAAGAACAACAGATTGCAACACAGAGGCAGGAAATATGGGTGGTGATGATGGGCTATGAGTAGATATATAATAGTATGTGATTACCACCAGGTAACCATGGTAGGAAAAAAAGGATTATGTAAGCTCCAGCAAATATGCCCTTTGTGAATGTACTCTTGACAACAAATGGTTTGTACTAAACTAATGAAAGAGTGAAGTTCAGAATCTGTTGCTCTTCTGGAATAGCACTATAGACAGGGCTTTTTGAGCTGCTTACAATGAAACAGCAACTTGAAGGATTAGAAACTGTTATGGGGTAGAGGAACGGAATTCCCTCCCACAATGAAAGGGGGAAGTAGAAAATGATTAAAGATCACTGCTTCACTTAATTTGTGTTGGGTCTTCAAATTAACCTTCATTTCGAATTCAAACCAGGAGTCTCATAAGCAACCTGTAGAATAACTCTAGAGAAGTTATTCTACAGCTTCCTCGTAGCTTAGGAACATAGCTAGATGAATCTTTTCCATACCAAAGGGAGATGGTCTTCCTGACCAGGCTCTGCGCTAGATTTCAATGAGGCCTTCTTCTCTATTTCCCTAGGAAAGCATACACTATATAGCCTCTTGACTTGTCACTCCCCGCTGGAGCTCAGAGAGAAGAAACAGGGAGTCATCACAGGGCACTTCCTTCCTCCTCCCTTGTGCTATGCAGCTACTTTTTGTTTGTTGGTTTTTAATAGCAGCTGCACCCACTTGCCAAGTCACTGGTTACCACTGTCACAAGCCATGCTGTGCTTTTATTGTTACTGTTGATTTGTTTTGCAGAGAAGGGCCTTGCTTTAAAAAGTAGGTGGGACAAAGAAATGGATGAAACCGGGAGAAAAAAATAAATCTAAATTGAACTGAAGCTTAATTCAAATTAAAGCAGGAACCATTCATATTATTATGTCCACATATTTAATACATTTCATCTTCTCTTGCATTAAAAATGACATGGGTACTTGGATTCTGCATCTCTATGAAAGAGGCATTAGTATCAGATACCCCAAGCTGCTTTTCTATTTGCTGCATCTCAGCCCTAGAGACTAACTGCCCACAGTGTTTCAGCAAATTTTGGAAATAAGTGTGCCTAAAACATCTGGTCCCCTTTAACACTTTTTTTTCCCAGTCATGAAAGAGGAAACCAACCAGAGTGATATGGCCGAAGACCTGTGTAAGATGGGATCAGAGCGCTCCCTTATGCTGGACAGACTAGCCAGTAACGTCGCCAAACGTAAGAGTTCTCTGCCTCAGAAATTTGTTGGTAAGAATTAAATGTTGCTCCCTCTTTTTCCTGGTTGGTTTCTTCAAATTTATTATTTCTCTATAACAATAGAAACAGCAAAATAATTAACCAAGAAGTGTGGATTCCAAGTTGCTCTTAGCTGTGGTCAAGTCAAAAATGTACAAAGATTTTGGATCACTCCAACAATTCTGCCATGGTTGAAAGGGTCCAAAAAGTGTTTTGCCTCTGCCTCTGATTTTGCCTGGGGAGGGGGGGTAGGCAAAGTGAACAGAGAAATAGTTGCACACTGGGTAAGATGTGTAAGATGGGCAAATGGCACCTGCCCTTGGAGGGGCCTCTGGGATGCAGAAACTACATCCTTAGCAATTTGACTAGTCTGGGATGGAGTCAATTATTTAGCTAGACTGAATCTATGTCTTTTCAATTAGAACAACTCCCACCATTCCTGCTTTGGCAACTGGTGCTAATTGAAGTTAATCCAGCACCTTGAAGAGCCATGGATTCACCATTCCTAAAGTCACCCTTCTGAGAAATCTGTAGTGTTCTACCCCTCTGAGCGTAATAGAGCAATTGAATGAGAAATAAGACCTGACTTGGGCAAAAACATTTTTTCTGATTTAGCAGTTTTCTCCTCTGTCCCCTATAATACCCCCCCCTTTTTTTAATGAAAGTCCACCATGGTCTCTAATTTAAAGTAACTCTACTGGTCCAGTGCTTCTTCTGATTGATTCCACATTATCAAATCTCAGCTAAAAAAAGAAAAAAGAAATAATTAGCAGTAATACATGATGTGTTGAGAAAATCCATCTTTTGCAGCCAGACCTACTGATTATATGTAAAGTTTATCAACACAAATGTGTTGATTTTTATCATATGGCTTGGAAATGGAATGAACAACACCTGGGCTACAGTGTGTTTAGTACATAGAAGATAAATAACTATATGTGCAGAATTTTTATTAACATTTTGAAAATTATTCACCCAATTCACTATACCCAGATTCCTATCAGTGCTCCTGAAACAGCATGGAAACCATACAAAATTGATAAAATCCCATCTGTATAATGTTGAGCACTTCAGCAGTAATTCAAATACACAACAAAAATGATCTCACAAAAGCCTTAGTCTTGCAGAGCATAATTGCATGCTACAAGCAAAAGACAAAAAACAAAAAAACCTAAGGAATAATAGCATTTACTAATTTCTGAAGAGAATGATATTGCCAGAAGAGCTGCATAGGCCTGGAGTTCAAGAGATATGACATGTTCTCTATTGCCGCCCAAAGACATTTGTAATGAAGGCAGCCTTGGCAGAGCCTCATCAGATGACCTTAAATTGTGGATAAAGAATTACTCACAGACTTTCCTGTAGGTTCAGAAACATTCACTAGAATAAAGTGTCATGCTTTTCTCCAGAAGAATACAAACTCTGTGAATGTGGAAAGAATGGGGATTTTCCATAGCTTTGAGAAGAGTACTTTTGGTTAAGGATTTGTCCTGATGTGGGAATAGGGGAAGATTCAGTTTTCATGCTCTCACTTCCTCATCCTCATAGTAAAAAAATCTTGCCAGCTATGAGGACTAAGAAGAGTAGCGTTTCCTGTCAGTTATTCAGAGTGTGGCGTAAGAAGATAACAATAATGACAGCAAGATGTTTAGTAAGACCCAGATGTAAGCCCTAAAAAAGATGAGGGCTTTATCAAAATGAAATCAAGGTAACCCAGATTTTTTTCCTTTAGCAGCCACAATTCTGCTTTGGTTGTAAGAAAGAATCTCTTTTCCCATTGGGTGATATTCTTTCTTTCTCTTCTCTGTTGTATTTCGGATCATGCTAATGTTTCATTACAGTTCTATATAAGTAGTGTTTGATTTCTAGAAAAAGGAGCATTTCTAGTCTGAAACACAGCTTAATGTGGAAGTATTCTTAGGAATTAGTAATTTACAAAGTCTGATCTTCTGCACTAAGTAGAGAATTGGATGAGATGGTGAAGAACCTTGGATGCCCAAGATTAGATGCCCTGCTTTTTAATTAAAAGCAACTGGAGGGGAATTTAATTTAATTTAAAAGCAACTGGAAGGGAATTTCCCAAGCCACTGTCCCAGTCTAATGAACCTCCTTACTCCCCTACAAAAAGCTGCTATTCACCCATGCAGGAATACTAGTATGTTTCCAATTCTGTGGAAAAACAGCTTTGGGACATGATGATTTTCAGCAGAGGTTGGAGAAAGAGGCACTTACTCTGTTACTTCTCTGCTCCTCTGACTGCCGCTTCCCACCATACATATTTACCTTCACTAACACAAATCTGATACCTTGGGAGGGGAAATAGAATGTGCAGAATCATGGCACAAAAACACTGAATAGCATAAGTGGCATGTACTGTGTACTTCATCCTTTTGCCTTGTCCAGGAAATTGTCTTTGCAGAGAATCGAGAGATCTGTGAGAAAAATAGAGGGTAATCTCCTTCCTGCTTCTACTTTGAGCTTTCCCAGTTGAGGGCTTCATGCTGGTGTCACCAGTGGGAAACAGACCTTTCTCAGCTCAGCTCTCCTTCTCTGTGCAAGACCAGTAGACTATGTCAAGCTGTGTCACAAAGGGGCCATGTTTTGGAGTTACCTCTCCCAACCCAGAACTCTATCAGAGAAGCTCCCTTTCCTCAGAGGGCAGGTGTATGTAACTTCTGACAGCTCACCAGGTATGGTGTGGCGTGTCAAGGCCCACATTCCAACGGCTCAGATTCTGTCAGCCAGATATGGATGGATGAAGGGATGCAAAGGAACCTACATTATTCTCCCCAAGTTTGGGAGGGAGGGGACTTCACCCTTTTTTTTTTTTTTAATCTGCGCTCAGTCGTTACCGACTCTGCAGTGACTGCTTGGA